AAAATATGATTAAAGTAGAAACACGTTATATCTTCTTTTTAACATACTAAAGACGTCATTAGGGTGAAATTGTCAATTCGATAATTAATTGTATATTCCTTCTTCAAACTTGTATGAAGTAAAATTTGTGAAATCGTGGAAAAAACAAAACAAAGAAAGGATAAAATAATGAGAGATTATTTTAGGTTAAAGCAAACTTTTCAAATACAGCGATTCAAAATGAAAATAAAAAGTGAAACGTTACTTGTACGCTCTAAGTTTACCACTTGGATGATAGAATGTCCAAGCGGCAAGATTTCATAGGCTGGTGGAACTTTGTCTTTTGTCTACCAACTTATGAAGTATTGCCACGTGTATAGGGACGGATCCAGGATCGGACTACAGGGGGGCTAATACGTAAAACTGAATGGATATACACGTAGACGTAGTCAACAAGAAAACAATGCAACCTAATATAATATTTACAGCTAATCCTTGATTACAAATTTCAAATCTTGTGTGAAATAATCCTAATTAGTCAGTTGAGCTGATAATCAAGGATGGGAGGACGAGAAATTACTTATTCGGCAAACATATTTTAAAAAACAATAAATGCAAACGAAATTTTTTCTCATTCCGAAGCATGCACACAAAATATTTTGACAAAAAATACGAAATGTGCTAATTAACGAAATGATGAATTTGAGAATTCGATGAAAAAAATTATGGACATATATGTTACAATGAGCAATGATTGAGGACTTTAAGTGTAATTAAAATGGAATGCACAAAAATATTTTTTTTGCTGTGAATATAGTTACCCTTTCTTTATTTGGAAAAAAAAAAAAAAAAATACTTCATCCGTCCCAATTATCTAAGCTAAGTTTCATTTTTCTCTTATCCCAAATATATAGGTCTGTTTCCTAATATAAAATATTTTGTTTTATTCATTTACCAATATATCCTTATTAAATTTTTCCTATTTAATATGTCAACTTCTTAAAATCATACAAATAAACACATTTCTCAGTTCTTGAAAACATGGAACAACTCTCATTTCTTTTTCTTTAAATTCTTTATTAATTCCAATAATAATTTACTTTTACATACTGAAAATTAAATAGAGGTAAATTAGGTAAGATCTTGGCAAAAATTAATTTTTCAATGACATTAAAGAAGTTTTCTTAATCCGTGTAAAAAAGAAACAAGCCTATATAATTGGGACGGATGTAGTATATATATATGCTTATATTAAGCATATGTGACGTATTATATTAATTTATTGGAGGATAAAAATTTTGTGAATCCCAACATTTGAATTAAATTTGTTATCAATCAATGAATTAATATGACACGTCACCGATTCTTAACATAAAATGAGCATTAACGTTCATTAAATCATTTATGTATAATATATATAAAGATTTTGTAAAACGTACAATGGCTGAAAAATACTCTGCACGTCAAAAATCATATTTGTTCTTTCATTATGAAATATCCGTGGTTCACTTGATCATAGGCACCGTCCAAACCTACACTGCTCCAGTGGGGGGTAATCAAACTCATCAATTGCCTCTACTTTTCAATGGCTTTTTTGAGCACCAGCAATGGTGGTGCAAGTTGAATACTTTTATCAGTTATACAAAATAATATAATTTAATATCTGTATTTTGACCTTTAAGTGCACGTTTGGCAAAATTTATAAGTGCATCCACACAGCCCGTAGGTGACAAACCAGCTGCTGCTATCATAAACACGTCTAAGAAAATAGAATGCAACAGCAGTTGTAAACGATGCAAAACCACAAGCACACACATTAGTAAAAATTCTTCCCAGATATGAAACAGAGGTTCGACATAGTAACAAAATATCAAAGCTAGAATATAGATTGTCTGAACTCATGTTATTACTCTCGTATTCGCATTTGATAAACATAAAGGGAATTTAAATCCAATGGATCAATATTAACAATTCATATAATAGTGCAGTACATGTTTGGACCATTCCCAGCTAGTGTTCATGTATTCTAACAAAGTACTTGATAATTAAAAGGAGAAGAAAGGATAATCAAACCTTTCATTACTGAATAAATTACTTGAGATAGTTCCAGTCACCCTCTCCAGTAAAAGGCAGCAGACAGCATTGAAGAGGTTCAACCACTTCTCTGCCACTGTTGACCCGTGCATTTCAGAGAACTAATAAAATGGCCTACCAAATGTTTCTACCTACACATCATTTAATCAATGAAGTTATGCGCAGGCATGACATACAGCCATCCCGTTTAAAAACAAATAAGTATTGGCTATTGCTCTCAACAAACATAAGCTATGCTAGTGTCATGAACTTCTCCCCATGTCTTTGCCAGAATATTCTCCACCACCAAATGCCGCCGCCGCTGCAGCAACATCAAGGCCATCATTGATGGATTGCATTATAGCAGAGAGCCCACCAGTAGGGCCACCGCTCGCAGCCATCCCTAATCCTAGAAGGTCGAGAGTAGCGTGCTTGGGACCGAAAACCGATGGAGTTCCCAACATCAGTTCTGTCAAAGCAGACCCTCCATCACAGGCCAGTCCGAGTCCAAGTCCGAGTCCAAGACCAGAAGCTAATGATGCACCCTCAGACTCAATTTCTTGCCTGCCCCATCTCTGGGGTTCGCTTGAAGGTGACAAAGAAGAGACTAATCCAAGCCCCTTCAGAACTGATGCATTTGATGCAGCTACCCCAACCTGAGCAGCTTTTTGAAGCAATGCCGTGGCAGACATTGCAGGCTGCAGCGGTGTAGTATACTGCCTGCACTCTTGTCCTGCTGTTTTAAAAATTGACGACCCTTGGTTCATTTCAAGGCAGAGAGATATGGGTTCCGAAGATGTACAGAGTGTAATGTCAGACGTCTGCTTAGAATGAGCCATGGTTTCAAATAAATTAGGAAATCTGGGTTCTTGAGGTTGTAAACTTCTGGAAGAAGTTGATGAAGCAAATAAGCTGGCAAGAACATTACTGCCTATACTACCATTGATGCTGGAAAGACTATTGCTGCTACAATTTGCAGGTGAGTTGGATACCATGGATGTCTCCTCAAAAATCCGTGTAGCAGTTGGATTGTGACTGGAGCTTTCAGGCAACTCTGCGGAAATAACAACATGAAGAAGAAAAGATTTAGTTATTGAAACTTGAAAGAACTAAACAAGCAAGGGAACTTGAGCTTTTCTTGTTCAAGGACTTTATATGAAGTTAAAAGATAATCCGCAAATAGTATCATTTTTAAGATTTTGGATTTCTTTGCTTTTGCCTAAACGAGAAATATCGCTTAGGTATATTTTAATTCTGAACTGTTTCGTATTATTTGATTGTATCCAGTGGACTTTTAGTTATTTAAATATATAACACTGTTCTTGCACGTTCAAGTCACAGATCAGTTAAGTCTAACACAAAATGCAGATAAAAACAAATTTCACCAAAAGACAAAAGACAACTAAACTCCAAGGACCAAGATAAAAGACAGAAAAACAACAAAAAAATTTGGTCTGGTTCAGTTTGTAGAAATAATACATTATACACATAGGACAAAACCCAAATCTCAAACTATAACAATCCAATTTTTGGTCAAAGTACCTAGATTTTGAAGAGGAAGAACAGAGGACACCATTGCAGTGGAAGGTGGAGCTGATGGTGAAGCCTGTGGTGGAGGCGGTGGTGGTGGTGATGGTGCTGGTGATGTTGCTGCCACCGCTGGTGGAGGTGGTGATGGCATAACAGATTGAATTTTAGGATCCTCATCAGTACTAGGAGGTGCCAGTGCTGTATTATTTTTTGCACACTCCCCTGATAATGCATCACAAAAGGCCCTGTGTGTAATGAAACTATCTCTCCTGCAGAACAAACAAATTGAAAATCAAATCCAACTATCAAAAATCAATTCAACAAGAGGCGTCTAAAGGGTACCCAGAAACCACTATAAAGATCAATTCTTAACCTCAAAAACAAAGTCCCACAATCACATTTATACTCTCTTGATCCACATATCTTCGAGTGTGCCTTCCAATCAGATTGAACTGCATAGTTTTTCGAGCACTTCTCGCATTTCCACTTCTTTTCACCATGTTTTCTGCAGAAATGCTTCTTGATCCCGGTCAAATCGCCCAGTGCCCGTGTAGGACTGTGATGAATGCAGCCAGGTTCGGGGCACACATACACTCTTTTCTTGACTTCCTTCGTTGATCTCTGCCTAAGTTTCCAAGGCAAATTATGACCCCTCCTATGAAGCTGCAAATTCTGATCTCTTTGAAACCCTTTATTGCAAATTTCACACACAAACCGATTCGTAGCCAACAAAGTCTTTGGTGACAAAGCAATCACCTCCGCCTCCGGATCTAATGAAGTTACACGAAAATTTTCCTTAAATCAAAATTATACCCTTCTTAACTCAATTCAATAGTATTGGAAAACGAGCACTAAAATATAATTATACCTGGCATTCCGGGGAGATTTCGCTTTTTCTTGGCAGTTGATTTTGTAGGGACAGTTTGATTACCAGAAGAAGAGTCCCCAGAAGCTGTGGAATCATTCATGGTGAAAAGCTATCTGAATAACATGGCACGGAATGACACAATTTTTCAATTTCTGTTCTCCTGCGCAGCTATAAAGAGAAACATTTAAAAGGGCATTTCAATTGAGGAATTTGAGCACTATTAAAACATTATTTCTTTATATGCTCTGCCTTTTTATAGATATCCACTAGTCAATATTGCAAATATGGTAGCCAACCACCAGTTTAGGACAAAGTCCCGGAATAGAAAATCAGCTGATTAACATAACAAGCTAAATAAAATAATGGAAAAATCACCGGAAAATAGATCGCCCGCAGTGAAGGGTAAAAGTAGTTGAAACTGTAACCAAAAATAGATTTTTCAGAATACGGCGCTTAAATCTAGCAATGGCTACTTTAATGTTTAATTTCATGTAAAACTACTTCAGAATATACAGACGCAGGCGGCGGCACGACGGAGATGGNNGCAGGCGGCGGCACGACGGAGATGGGAGAGAAAATGGTCAGCGTCATCGTCGGCGGCCCAGAAACTTCAAGAGAGAGGAGAACTTGAGGAAATTTGGGGGAAAAGAAAGAGAGTGGGTGCATGTGTACGTGTCTGCGGGTGCACAAGTCTTGTTTGTTGGTGGTCTTCACACTTAAATTCCACTTTTTTTAACCCAATTTTTCACGTACAAGTAGCCAAATCCTTTTTAACGTTAAATATTATTTTGTTTGGTCCCAAATTTTAAAATTCAACTCATTTTTAACTATATATTTTTTTAATAATTAATTTTACATATAAATAAAAAAAATTCCTAGACATTCATAATCACATATTCTCCAAAAAATATTTTTCATAAAATTCATTCTCGTTAAATCTCACCCAATCAAGGACTGAGAGTAGTCTCGAAAATTTAATTACTCTAGGTGACCGGCAATTTCTTAACACGCTTATAATCTAAATCATTGCTATAAATTGCATCAAAATACAATATTATATTTGTCTAGATAAAACTTCTACTTGTTTAGACAATATTTTACATAAAGTAGGGTTGAAAAGTTCGTGGACGAATCTATTTGATAATAGAGCTGTTTGATGTGGTTGTTCGGTTAGAAGTTATGAAACGATTATATTGTAATTTAGAATTAAAATTGACACAATATTCGTAAATGGTTAATTTTACTTGACAATTTGTGTATTGCTCAAATGTAATCGAGATAATTTCGGGTCTAACTGATATAAAAAAATTTGAGAATATATTCTGGAGAATGTGTAGTTAAAAATAGAAAATTTAAATATAAATTTAAAAATGAATATTAAAGAATTTGTATCGAATGAGAATTTTAAAATAAAAGAAAGGAAAACCACTAAGGAGAAAGCATTGAATGATGGGTAAGATAAGGGGTTTAAGGAATGAACACTGGAGCTGTTAATCGCGTGTTTATCAAGGGATTAAAAGTCAAACTACTACTTTTAATTCATTAACGCAGTGACCAATGTAAATTTGCCACGTTGAACTTACATGTGTGTAATTCTCATTCTCTTGTCGTAAAATCGAGTTAATTCGGAAAGAAATCTGCATTAAAAAGGAAGATATTTTTGATGGTTAAGGTATGATATCTTCTATATATTAAAAGTGGCTATATAACGAAATTTCTTATTTTTAACGGAAAAACTAACGGAATTTGTTGTTTTAACGGACTATGTAACGGAATTTCTTGTTTTAAACAGGCAGTTGCACATTCTTTCAGTGTTTTTATCATAACTTTGTATTCCGATATCCGATTGAGGCGATTCAAAATGCGTTGGAAAGCTAACTCATCTGGCTACAACTTTGATTCAGACATCATTCTCCAATTCGATCACTTTCTATGCC